TTGGTTAATGGGGCACTAGCATTTTGAAAAAATAGGCATACATTTACATTTACCCTGGACATCTATCAGTGTGGCCAGGAAGAATCCCAAAGAACTGAGTGGAAAAAATATTCTTGGGTTTGCCAAGCCCTCAGGTGGACAGACAGTCACTACAGGTTTCATACCACAGACAGAATTCAAACTCATCAGGAAAAACCACCTCAGTGGAGGGCGTTCACTTTTTAAGGTATTATTTCAGTTAAGGTTCCAGGAAACCTCTTAGACTGTCCAGAATGATCTTTATCAAGTGTATTTATCAAGTGCATCAAGCTTCAGTGCAGTTGGAGCTCAGACTCTTAAGTGTTTGTTTCAAGGCATTAATTTGTATCAGTTTAATTAGCAAACATACATATGCATAGCATGTACAGTATCCAAGTCCTGACTTGCTATTGAAACAAGGCTCATGTTACAGAGGTGACTAGGCTGGGACATTAAAGAGAAATGAAAGAGAAGACTCCCCAACCCTCTAAAAGTTTTTTAAAACCAGTCTTGACTCTCGGTGCTGTAATGGAGCTCATGCTGCCCTAGCTAGAGCCGCGGGGACACAAGTGTGCCCCAGACCGCACAGCTGGGAGAGACTTATTAACAACGAAACCTCCCGCTCAGAGTGCTGAGAAATTGCCCCCCTCAGGGAAGCTGTGCTTAGGCTGGTTGCTTGCAGCCACACACAGATGCACAAATCCTGTCATTTTATAGATGTTCCAGGACGACAGAAAGGTTGAAGCCTTGACTGAGGGCATCCCCAAAACTATTAAAATTGTGGAATATGAAATAAGGCTACTCCTTTGTGATTAAAGATCAAAATGTAGTAGATAACTTCAGTGTGAAACTGGATTTCTAAGCCCCAACAAGATGGTCAACATTTAATGTTAATTTTATGGAGAACTCTGTAAATGTTTTCGTAAGTATTTGTTTTACTTTTACTGTATTCTAGTTAGAGAACAGTATTAATAAAGTACTTGCTACAAAATTAGTCTGCAGTACTGTTTTTTACTATTTCTAATCAAGAAGTTCTCAGAAAATTGGAAGAGCTGAACATGCTTAGAGCGGTGGTCATCAGTTGAGTTCAGTTTTCCCCTTGAGTTCATATCTGAATATTACAACTCAGACTCCCTGACAAGTTCTGAACTTTGGTCTTTACCCTCCCATTCTATTACCTGAGCAGTTTAAATAATGTTTCAAAGCACACAGCCTGTGGATTTGTAGGCAGATAGTAAATATTCCCCTTTCTTTCTAGCCAGTGGTTTAAAAATGCCCCTAAGGTTATCATAGCCCTAGTCAGTGAGATTCGGCTGGTTGGGCGTCATCCCACAAAAGTGAAAGGTCGCCAGTTTAATTCCCAGTCAATGCACATGCCTGCGCTGGGGGTTCAGTCCCCATTCAGGGCACATATAAGAGGCAACCACTGATGTTTCTCCCTCTCTCTCTCCTTTCCCCACCCTCTAAAATCAATTTTAAAAAATCCAAGCTATTTTATATATATGTAATATATATAAATATATATTACATATATATTACATATACAAATTTATTACACATATTATATATTATATATACATATATCTAATGCTAATAAACATGTACTATAGGAATAAGACCTTATAATTATATCATGTTATCAAAATATGAGTACTTAAGAATTTGAGAAAATTATATATACAAATGGGAAAAGCCATGCACAGACAGGTAGAGAGATCTTTACTTTAAAATATGTCCTACCACTAAGTTTCATTTTTTAAAACACTTATTTTGAGCCCTGCTGGTGTGGCTCAGTGGATCGAGCGTCAGCCCAGGAACTAAAAGGTCACAGGTTCGATTCCCAGTCAGGGTACATGCCTGGGTTGCAGGCCAGGTCCCCGGTTGGGGGCGTGCAGGAGGCAACCAGTCAATGTTTCTCTCCCTTTATTTCTCCCTCTCTAAATAAGTAACATCTTTTTAAGTTAAAAAAAATAGGTTTTTTTCTAGTTTTTAAAAAATCACATTTTGAAAATGTGAAAGTAAGTTAGAACATGCCTTTCAAAAATATGACTTGTATTTGACACTAATAGCGCTAACACTTTGCACTTCAAAACTCAAGTTCTCACACTTGGGGCCCTGTTAAATGTTTAAAATGCACACACAGAGACACACACCCTTGCCTTATCTTTTTTGTGTTAACAGAGTCCAACCTAGTAGACTTTGGCCAATATACTAAAACACAAATAGGGTTAAAAAGGGAGTGGATGGGAGTGTGGCTGTAAAACATTTAAATTTCACATGAAGCCTTATTAGGAACTGTACCTTCATTATTAGCAAGATTACCAGATTGAATGTCAAAGATGTGTTCTGTGCTTTAGAAGACATGTCTGTACAGATCAGGGCCATGCTGTGCAGTGGGCACCAAGGGACCATCCCATTTGAGGAGGAAACTAATCCACTGATTACAGACCCAGCACAAAACAATCTAATTGGAGGCGTCTCTGTTACCACCACCTTCTGTCTGAAATTCACCTGTGCACTGTCCCATTTAAACTCCAGCTGTCCCCATTATTTCTAGCCCATAAATCTTCACACTGTCCTTTTCTTCAGTACACCAGGCTGAGTCTGGATGAACTGACGCATGCAATCTGATCAGTAACAAGGGGCTGACTGTCCAGCTTGTAACTAGCGTGTGCTACAGGTCTAGTTTGTGACCCGTATTGTGGCTGCAGAAATTCCTCCCACATTTATGCTAACAATTTCAATATAATCAATTTACTTTAAACAGGTCCTACGTGCCAGTCACCCTAGGAAGTCAGGATACAAAGATAAGCAGGGACCTAGGAAAAATAGGATAATAGAAAAGTCTACTTGAATAAATTCAATCTGGAACATGATATACCCTCTGCAAGAGCCTCCGAAGGTTCTAAAGAAACTGGATAACTATATATTGAAATTAAAGGGAAAAGTGTTAATGGCTTTAATCAAGTCTCTTAATTCTGCTTTTTTTAATTTAAAAAATTTTCATTGTTATTACAGTTGTTCTAATTTTTCCCATGTTCCCCTTTCCTCAGCCAGCTCCCACATTCCCACAGTCAATTCCCACACCATTGATCATGTCTGTGGGTCATGCATATATGTTCTTTATTTAATCCCTTTACCTTTCAAGCAGTCTCAACTGTCCCCCTCCCCTGTGACAGCTGTCAGTCTGTTCTGTGTTTCTGCCTCAGATTCTGTTTGCTTGTTAATTTTGTTCATTAGATTCCAGTTATAAGTGAGATCATATGGTATGTGTGTTTTATCATTTTGCTTATTTCATTAGCATAAGTCTCCCGTTCATGCTGTCACAAAAGGTAAGAATTCCTTTTATTTTTTTTATTGCTGCGTAGTATTCTGTTGTGTAGAAGTCCCATAGCTTTTTAAAAATGCTCTTTGAAAAGCAGGAGCAGTTTGTTTTTATTTATTTTAGATGAAATAAGGGAGAAAAACATTACTGTGTGATCTGTTGCCTCCCCCATGCCCCCATATGGGGAACCTGGCCCACAACCCAGGCACGTGCCCCAAACAGGAATCAAAACTGGTGACCATTCCAATATCAGGCTAGTGCTCAAGCCACTAAGCCACACCAGCCAGGGCTTTACCAGAGCTTTTTTATCCACTCATCTGCTGTTGGGCACTTAGGCTGTTTCCAGCACTTGGCTATTGTAAAAAATGCTGCTGTGAACACAGGGATGCGTAAGTTCTTTTGAATTGGTGTTTTGCTATTCTTTTGGATAAATTCCCAGAAGTGGAATCACAGGGTTAAAAGGCAGTTACATCTTTAATTTCGTGAGGAAACTCTCTCTTTCCACAATAGTTGCACCAGTCTGCACCCCTACCAGCAGTGTACTGGAGTTCTATTTTCTCCACGTCCTCACCAACACTTGTTTGTTGATTTATTAATGATAGCCATTCTGACAGGTGTGAGGCGATATCTTGTGATTTTAGTTTGCATCTCTCTGATGGCTAGTGATGTTGAGAATTTTTTCATGTCTGTGGGCCCTCTCCTCCTTGGAGAAGTATCTATTCAGGTCCTTTATCCATTTTTTAACTGGATTGTTTGTCTTCCTGGTATTGAGTCCTAAGAGTTCTTTATTTCGGAGGTCAAACCCTTGTTGATATATCACTGGAAAAGAGTTTGGGTTCCCTTTTCATTTTGCTGATGGTTTCTGTGACTGTGCAAAAGCATTTTAATTCAATGTAATCCCATTTGTTTTTTTCCTTTGTTTCCCTTAATTCTCCTTTTTAACACTCTCATCTTATTCATTAATTAGGTATGCTTCTCTAAGTCTTGTGAGAAACTCCTACAAATATTTATTACCAAAGAAGAAGCTATAAGGAATACATGTACGACCCACTCCCTCTTCAAAATGTATTTGGGTAATGTTAAGTAAAGGAAGAGGAAATCAAAAGTATGTTTATAACGCTGTTCGATTCCCAGTCAGGGCACATGGCTGAGTTGCAGGCCAGTTCCCAGTGGGGGACGCATGAGAAGCAACCATACATTGACATTTCTCTCCCTCTCTCCTTCCCTTCCCCTCTAAAGATAAATAAATAAATAAATAAGTTTTTTTTTTAAAGTATGTTTATAAAAATGAATCAGTTCAGCAATTCTGTGGGAAACCAGAGCACTATACAAAAATTAACTATTTCTATATATTAGTAATCAATAATGAAATTAAGAGCCCTGACTACTGTAGCTCAGTAGTTGGGTGTTGTTTTGCAAACAAAAAGGTCACCAGTTCAATTCCCAGCTGGGGCAGGTGCCTGGGCTGCAGGCTGTTTGGGGGGGGGGGCAGCAGGAGGTGACTGATTGATGTTTCTCTCGTGCATCAATGTTTCCCTCCGTTCCCTTTATTTATTTATTTAATCATAAATAACTCATTAAATAAAAACTTAAAATACAATGAGGAAAACAATTCCATATATGATAGGATAAAAAATGCCTTGGAATAAATTTAACAAAAGGAATATAAGACTTGTACACTAAAAACTACAAAACATTGTTTTAAGAAGATTAAAGATAAATAAATGAAGAGACATTCTAGTTCATAGAATGAAGGACTCAATATTAAGATGATAACTCTCCTTTAGTTGATCCACAGATTCAACACGATCCCTATCAAAACCCCACAGGCAGTTATTTTTCCAGAAATTGACAGCCTCTTCCAAAACTTAAGTGGGGCTGCACGGGAGCCAGAATAGTCAAGCAGTCTTTTAAAAGATCAAACTTGGAGGACCTACATGTACAGACAGAAAACTTTACTGTAATACTATAGTAATTAATACGATGTGTTGCCAACACATAGAGGGCAACGAAACACAACTGTTAGTCCAGAAATAAACACTTAACATTTATGATCAACTGATCTTCAACAAAAGTACCAAGACAGTTCAATGAAGAAAGTCTTTTCAACAAATAGTAGTATAATATCCTTGTGCAAAAAGATGAATTTAGACCCTTGCCTCACACCACACACAAAAATTAACTCAGTGGAACATAAACCTAAGTTTAAGATTTAATTAAAATGTTTAAAAGAAAACAGTCTTTGTGACCTTGGGTTAGGCCGTGAATTCTCAGCCCTGACACCAAAATCATGATCTATAAAAAAGTTTTTGATAAATTGTAATTAATCAATTTTTTAAACAATCTTTTAAACTTAGGCAGTTCAAAAACAATTTAAAAAATACAAAACAACAGACTGGGAGAAAATATCTGCAAATCATATCTGATAAAGCACTTGAATCTAAAGTATATAAACTCTCACAACTCAGGTAGACAGCTCATTTTTTAAATAGGTGAATCGAATGAACATCTCAGCAAAGAGGATATACAAATGGCTTAACAAGCACATGGAAAGATGCTCAATATTATTGGTCGTTATGGAAATGCAAATTCAAACTACGACGAGACACTGATACCTCATAAGCACTGGAACCACACACAACAGTAAGTGCTGGTGAGGATGCAGAGAAATTGAAACCCTCATACCTTGGTTGATGGTATGTAAAATGGTATAGCCACACTGGAAAATAGTTTGGTAGTTTCTTAAAAAGTTAAACAAATTCATCATATGACCTAGCAATTCCACTACTAGGTTTTTCACCCAAGAGAAATGAAAATATGTCCACAAAAGATTTGTCACAAATGTTCACAGCAGCATTATTCATAATAGAAAGAAATGGAACCCAATATCCATCAACTGGTGAATAAAATATTGTATATTCATAATGGAATACTATCAAGAGTGAAAAAGGAACCACTGATACATGTTACATCAGTGAAGTTAAGTGAAAGAAGCCACATACAAAGACCATATATGTATGATTCCATTTATATGAAATGTACAGAAAAATCAAATCTATAGATACAAAAAGGAGATGAGTGGTTGCCTGGGACTGAGGATGGGAATGGGAATTAGCTACAAACAGGATAAGGGATGTTATACAATGATGGGAATGCTTTTAAAAAATTGTGATGATGGCTGCATAACTCTAAATGCACCAAAAATCACTGTTATAAAGTGGATGAATTTTATGGTATGTAATACCTCAGTAAAGCTATTTAAAAATATGTATGAAGATACCTTTAATTACAAAAACAGACATGAAAGGATGCTCAGCATCACTAGCCATCAGAGAGATGCAAATTAGATACCACTTCACGGGTCAGAATGGCCATCATAACCAAATCAACAAACAGGTGCTGGTGAGGTTGTGGAGAAAAGGGAACCCTATTGCACTGTTGGTGGGAGTGCAGACTGGTGCAGCCACTGTGGAAAACAGTATGGAATTTCCTCAGAAAACTAAAAATGGAACTACCTTTTGACCCAGCCATTCCAATGCTGGGATTATACCCCAAGAATCCTGAAACACCAATTCGAAAGATCTCTGCACCCCAGTGTTCATAGCAGCACAATTTACAATAGCCAAGTGATGGATGTGACCTAAGTGCCCATCAGTAAATGAGTGGATCAAAAGTCTGGTATAGTTTCACAATGGAATACTATGCAGCAGAAAAAAAGAACTACCTTTGCAACAGCATGGATGGATCTGGAGAGTGTTAACACTAAGTGAAGTAAGACAGGCAGTGAAAGACAAATACCATACGATCTCACCTATAAGTGGAACCTAATCAACAGAACAAGCAAGCAAAATATAAACAGAGACATTGAAATAAAGAACAGACTGACAGTAAACAGAGGGGAGAGGGATAATGGGGTATACTGGGGAAGGCTTGTCAAGGAACATATATAAAAGACACATGGACAAAGCCTAAGGGAGTAGGATCGAGGGTGGGGTTGGGGGGGAGTGATGGGGGAAAAATGGAGACTACTGTACTTGAACATAAAAAATAAAAATAAAAGAAAGATAAAGGAGCCCTGGCCAGTGTGGCTCAGTGGATTGGGCTTGGGCAGCAAACCAAGGGGTCATCAGTTTGATTCCCCTTGGTTGCAGGCCAGGTCCCCAGTAGGTACCACGTGGGAGGCAACCACACACTGTTTTTCTCCCTCTTTCTCCTCCCCTTCCCCTCTCTCTAAAAATAAATTAAATTTTTTTAAAAAGTAGAAGAGCCCTGGTTGGTGTAGCTCAGTGGATTGAGCGCGGGCCTGCAAACCAGACAATCGCAATTCGATTCCCAGTCAGGGCACATACCTGGGTTGCAGGCCAGTTCCCAGCAGAGGACGCACAAAAAGGCAACCATACATTGATATTTCTCTCCCTCTCTCCTTCCCTTCCCCTCTAAAGATAAATAAAATCTTTAAAAAAAAGAAAAAAAAAAAACTAGTAACTTCATAGTGCGGAAATCTAACAGACCACCTTAACCAAGTGATCACAGTTAACACCACCAGAACTGGGACAAATTAACACCATGTGCCTCCTGATACGACGTACTAAGAAGAACATTCTATCACTTCCAGTGTCCCAGTGCACACTGAACTGAATCATAAAAAAAAACAAATTAAGGGTTATTCCCCAAAATAACTGGCCTGTATTCAAGAATGTCCTCGTTGTGAGTCAAAGACTGAGAAACTATTGCAGATTAAAGGGATATGACAAGTGAATACAATACATGGGCCAAGAAAAAAAAGGGGGGGGGGTTGCTATAAAGGACACTGAGATAATCAGTGAAATCTGGTAAGATCTGTATCAGTGTTAATTTCCTGATTTCAATGATTGTCCTGCAGTCATTTAGGAAATGAACTCACTTTTTTCATTGTGTCCATGATTTACTCTCAGACAGTTCAGGAAAAAATGAACACACTCATACACAAACACAGAAAACTCAAATGTGGGGGAGTTAACATTTGCTGGGGAAAAGATACATGGGAATTCTTTGTTGTGTTCTTGCAAATGTTCCGTAATTTACATGTCCGTAAATAAATGCAGTATATGTATGCTATAATTTCAGTGTTTATTAACATGTATCCATTTGAGTAAAAATTAGATAATAAATAAGAAACATGAGAATATAGGGGAAATAACTTCTTTAAAGTTATTTAAATATTTTGTTTATTTTTAGAGAGAGGAAAAGGGAGGGAGAAAGAGAAACATCAATGCATGGTGGCCTCTCACACAGCCCCAACTGGGGAATTGGCCCAGCAACCCAGGCATGTGCCCTGACTGGGAATTGAACCAGTGACCATTTGGTTCACAGACTAGCACTGAATCCACTGAGCTATACCAGCCAGAGCAAAAATTGCTATTTTTTAAAATGAAGATATGAATCAAACAGATCCCACACTGGAAATAAAGAAGCACATGGGGAAATGCTAACAAAGAAATACAAATTAAAACAACTTTAAAACACCATTTCACGTTGAGTAGCAAAAATTAAAATGTTAGTATTCTAAGGGTCTGACGAAATTTGTATTATGTACTTATTTATTGTTCTTGTCAATGAAAGAAGCACAAACCATTTAAAAATACAAGGAAAAACTTACATGTGTTCATACTCTTTGATAGTACTTCATTTCTAGGCACTGAAAATCGTCTTTGATAAAGCAATGAAGATGCATTCATGAAGATATACTTTGCAACAATCTGATAGCAAAAAGGTCAACATGTCAAAATTTAGAGGAATGTATAAAGAAGCATAGTTTATCAACACAATAGAAAATATTGTCTTACATAATTATGAAAACAAAAATGAAAAAACTGAATACATTGATTATAATTATGTAAAAATTTTAAAGGATTAGCAAGTAATATACAAAATACAGCCCTGGCTGGTGTGGCTTAGCCAATTAAGTGCTGGTCTGCAAGCCAAAGGGTTAGCAGTTCTATTCCCAGTCAGGGCATATGCCTGGGATTCGGGCCAGGTCTCCAGTAGGGGGTGCACAAGAGGCAACCACACATTGAAGTTTCTCCCTTCCCCTCTCTAAAAACTTTTTTAAATTAAATATATACAAAATATAAAGCATGTGTGGGTACTAGAATAATTTTTAATAAAAGAAAAATCCTTTAATTTTATTTGAACAATGAAACCCAATTGTGTAATAAAGGCAGGAGAAAACTTACGGAAGTGATGGGTATGCTTATGGCAAACACTGGTGGTTTTCTCCAACCTACCAAGTTGTATACATTTAATATGTACAGCCACTTATGTTAACTATACCTCCATAGTGGTTTAAAAAAACACCCTTGTATTTGACAGTAGAAGCAATTGAGTATATGTAATTATAGTCCTTCATTACTCTGATTTTTTCCCAAAATGTAAGCATGAATTATAGTAACCCCTACCTCTGACTAGCATTCTAGAATCTGCTTCAAGGCATCATGAAAGTTTCACCAGTTCTCATCAAATACAATGATTGTGAATGTTTTAAATTTCTCACTAACAATTTTGGAAAAAACAATTCATGAAAAAAACCTATTTCAGCAATAACTTTTTTTAGGAAAAGGTGAAGACATTTAGGACATCGGGTGAACAAATGCCATAGCAAGAAATTGGTGCAAATGTTGGAAACTTTACTCCAAGGGAAGCAAAAAGTACTCAATGAAAATCCTAACCACCTTCGTTTTGAAGTGTTCTGGATACCCAGTGTGTTCAGAGACTGCCCTGGCTACTGCCTCCAGCTGGCTGGGAGCAGAGCCAACTCTGGGGTGGAATCCCCTTGGCCTCTGGATCCAGAGGATGCATCTGAAAACAGCTGAGTTAGACTCCGAGGGAAGAATCGTAGCCCCAGGGGCTGAGGCAACTCCCTGAGCAGGCAGGTTTCCCAGGCGGAGCAGGATCACTTACCCTCTTCAGCAGCAGGGCAAACTGTTTCAACAATCAGAAGACTCAGTTGCCAAGAAACAGTCCCTGTCCCCAGCTCATTAAGTCAGGCAGCAAATAAATCTACCAACGCTCACCCACCTGTCCCTGGGCCAAGGACCAAGCCTGAATGATACTGTGAATGATTTCCTAGATGGTTTACTCCAGTCCTCATTTTGTCAGCATTGTTCCCATGCCAAATTTAATTTTACTCCCCTTCTCCTGTTTGCTTTGCAACGACATTCCAGGGTCACAAGGAAAAAGGCTATGTGCTGAATTTCACTCAGGATCGTGGAACTTTCAAGTTGTGAGGGAAGACCCTGTGAAGGGTCCTTACAAAATTTGTAAGCCACATCATTTCTGTCCCAATACTCAACTCTGCCAATGGCTCAGAAGCAGCTGTACATAAAACATAAACTAGTCTGTGTGTTCCCATAAAACTGAACAAATGGAGGCAGCAGGCCGGATTTGCCGCAAGGGCCAAGTTTGTTGGCCCTTGTCCTAGCGAGTTAAGGCCTCGGAGTTCTAAGCTAACCTTACGGCATTCTAGACATGCCCTTGAAAAAAACCCCGAAACTAATCATCTGAGGTGCCTTTCTAGGCCAGACACCCCGAGTCCTGGCCCTAACTGGCTTCCACAGGTCAAGTGCAGCGAAGCACACTTCCTGTACTCTCCTCACTCCGTGAAGCCTAACCTGGGGCATGGGCACTCCAGGCAGAGAGCAGCCTGAGTCAGAAGCCTGGGCGTACTCCACCAGGCCAAGGACCTGCGCTGGGTTCAGCTGCAGAATACTCATCCCACTGAACATTTTCCCTCGGAGATACCAGCCTGTTCTCACTTGAAAGGCTTTGACAGTTTTAAGGCTTATTATATGTTGAAATATTTAACAATAGCCAAAACTTTCAAGTTTCAACCAAGTTTCATTATTACACCAAAAAATAAAAATAGAAACTTAAAGAAACACATATAGTCAGTGCAAGTGACTTAATACATTTTATAAATACGCTTGTTACCTAACAAAAGTGAAGTATAGCCCCATGAAAAGACTTACGATTCTGATGTCCCTGTGCTAATTGTGTTGCACATGATGTTATCCTTGTCACAGCTCACTTACTTATTAGCACTCACAATCCACATCTTTGATTTTACCAAAACTACAAATTAAAATTCATACCCACATGTATGTGCCTTTAAAGTCCTGTATTATGATGGCCTTAACATTCAAAACATTTTATGAAGGAAAAAAAGTCTCAGATCAGTGCATCCACAGTTCTTGACCTCTCACTGGGAAGCTGCAAGATATCCTTGAATAAGATCCTGAACACGGGACAGAATAATCTCATTAGAACTGCTGCAGTTTTCTGGACCATATGGTGGTTCTATAGTCAGGACCCCAGCCACACAGAGAGTTCCTGATGAATCTCCCTGTTCAGTGACAGGGATGTGGTTCTTCTCAAGCCATTTCTTTAGGTTGTTCTTTCTCACTTCCAGATCCTCAGGATTGTATGCCTTGCAGTCTCCAGACAGGAACAAATGCATCAGCTTCTCTCTTACCCAATGGTCCCCTTCATTCACAGTTTCAACAGTCTGCACAGCATGTCCCATAATGCCAGTCACAGACATGCTGCCATCTTCAAGGAAGTTCACGAGGACGATACTTTGGAGGAAAAGTAAGTTCAGAGCAGATTTGCAAAGGAAAAGCCTAAAGGCCCATAAAACTATGGCAGAAGCAATGGAATGAGAGGCATCATCAACCCGGCAGGTCATTAAAATAATAGGGAATGCTAGTCCCTATTTAAAATTAATCCTCTCACCACCAGATGTTTTCACTGGTTCAGCAAGCATTCATTGAGGATCCTAAACCTCTAAACTTTGTGTCCATCCTAAAGCTAATCATTGTGGGAAGCAGCAAAAGCATTAGAGTTATGAATGCCTTCACCCTGGCTGGTGTGGCTCAGTGGATTAATCACCGGACTACAAAGCAAAGGGTCGCTGGTTCAATTCCCAGTCAGGGCACATGCCTGGGTTGTGGGCCAGGTCCCCAGTAGGGGGGCGCTCGAGAGGCAACCACACATTGATGTTTCCCTCTCTCCTTCCCTTCCCCTCTCTCTAAAAAGATAAATAAAATTTTAAAAAATAAATCAATTAAAAAAAATAAGACCACAGACTAATGTCACAAATACAAATGCAAAAATTCTAAATAAAATACAATATATGATATGATGTGATCTGAAAGGAATATCACTTCTGTGGTACTCTTCCCCAAACCCAAGTCTACTAATACGAAAACATCACACAGACCCAAATTGAGACACATTCTACAAATGTGGTACTTCTCAAATTAATCCAAGTCATAAAAAAACAAGGAAAGACTGAAAAATGGTCACAGATGGGAGGCGACTAAGGAGACATGGTAAATGTAATAGGGGATCCTAATTGAATCCCGGAACAGAAAAAGGTCATCAGTGGAAAAACCAGTAAAAACCCAAATGATTACAGTTGAGTTAACATAAATGTTTACTTCTGACAATATGCTAACATTAGGGAAGCTGAATACATGGGTATTCTCTGTACTTGCTTTGCTCTGGAAATCTAAAACTACTCCAAAATAAAAAGCATGTGTGGGTATGCACATATCATCACCTTTAAAGTAGTCTTGCAAAAATAAATCTGATTCTAATCAAACCTCTAGATATGAATACCAGTTTGTAGGAAATACAGAGGATAAAAACATGTTAAACTACATCATGATAAAGTGATAAGCTCGGTCCAGAATGTGTTCAATTCTACCACCGGAGAAGCTTTGTTAAAGATATTTCCAGGTCCCTGCCTTGGAAACTCTAATCAGAATGTGTTCAGTTCTATCACACAAACGACTCCATTCCTTCAACAAATTAAGGAGTTGGAAAACTAAAAAAAAAAAAAAACAAGAAAAAAAAACAAAGTGCAGAGTTATAGAGTAAGATACTTAAGAGACATATCAACCAAATTGATACACCAATATAAAAAGGTACTTTTGAGACCATCAAGCAAATCTGAACTCACACTAGGATTTAGCTAATATTAAAATTTTTATTTCTTGTGTTAGGTGTTATAATATTGTGCCTATATGTATTGGAGACTCTATCTACCAAGAGATATATTAAAGTATTTATGAACAAAATTATATGCCTGCAGTTGGCTTTAAAACATGTGAAAGGAGGGGTAAGATACTGTCTGCTATACCATTCTCTTTACATTTGTGTATGTTTGAAATTTTCCAATTAAATATATTAAGAAATGTCTCATTTCTACAAACATGTTTGGTCTGATAAGGTACTCCACAGTTAGAGCAGTTAGATTCCAAGGCAATAAAATTCTTATACGGGAATAATTACGGTAGCTTTTCACTGTCTGCCTTTTGAATTTGGATAGAGCATAGAGGCAGCACAAAAGGGTGTCGTGATTTCAGGAAGCAGGACCCATACTCACTTGGCAGAGACTGGGTCTGTGGTTAAAACCCATCCTTTATACTCCTTCTCACTTGCTGTCACTCTGACTTCTTTGTAAATGTAATCTTGCCATTCTAAGGGACCTGTCTTCATCCATTCATTCATGGCTGCCGTCTGGCGAGATTGAAAACCACCACCACTTTGGGTTAATATATATGTTCCACCCAAGCAAATGTCTTACCCCTAATCTCCATCCCAGAAAATCATCTGTGATTTGCCTCAAGTTCCATATCATAAAATTAGTTAACACGGTATTTATTATTCAGTCCGAAAGCTAAGGGGGCCGACACCGCGTCGCCGCGGGGCCCTGTCTGCGGTAACTCATCTGGCATACCTCAATTCCACCCCAAGCCCATTCCAGATCGCCTTCCCGCTGGCTTTGAACTCGGGTCTGCTCAAACCCGTAAACTGTCTCTCCAGCGACCCAAGCAGCTCACGTCACACCAAAAACTTTAAAAGAAAATCAGATACCCACCCACTCGCTCTTTGGCTCCGCCTCCAGGCAGAGGCCCGGTCCCCGGGTTTGTGGCAGTGTCCTCTTAGTTTGTTTGGAGGGTGTATAAACCAAGAAGCAGCAGCTACGGCTCTAGATCTCAGACTTCTTGGCTTAGCCTGCAGCCGCGTGGTACTCTGGGCCGTGCTCAAACCGCATGGTACTTAACGTTTCATCCTCACGTACGGGAAAAGTACCAGTTTCACGTGCTAGCACACCACGGGCTCAGCATCCACGCGGTGAGAAGGAAACTACTCTCAACTGGAGCCCGCCTGCGTCCAGCATGCTTTGCGCCATGGCGTCACTTCCTGCCCCCAAAATTCCGTTTTTGTAGTCTTTGGCCTTGCTCAAACCTAGGGGTCTGAGAGTCGCGAGCCCTGGGGTGTTGTAGGCGGGAGTGGGCAGGGACAGAGATTTTTGTGTGATAATGATAAGCTTTTTTTTTCTCCTGGGGCCAACCCTCTCAACTACCACGGCGGGCACTTTAAAAAAACATTTTTTAAAGAGGCAAATGCTCATGCCCGGTCCTCGTTGGCAGGAGAAATGGAATGGAATTCAAAGCGCATGAAACCTCTAAGTAAAGCCTAAAGCTCTGGAAATGTGTGGTGACAGTGCTTTGGAGGAGAGCGACAGCGCCAAGGTATTTCTTGTTTGTTTGGCCTGTGTAAGACAATTACGGTGCCTGCTCCTTCAGGATGCGTCCTGGATCCACTCCTGCAGGAGGTGCAGAAACTGGGGAGAAAAGCACGGGGTTGGGTTGAATTCCACCCAGTCGAAGACTCGTTGTGAACATCCTCTCTCCCAAGTGGAAAAGTGCAAAACTTTCCCACCACAGGTTTCTGGTCATGTATTTGGTTCCCATCTGCTCCTGGCATGGTCCAGAGTTTTTTCTGGATTGTGATCTTGGAAAATGATGCAATGTGGTAAATGTTGAGTTCTTGCAAACGTGAACACGAAGGGAGATTTACAAAACACATAATGTAGAAAACACTGAAAACGAAACAGCTTTTCCCTTACAACTTGAGATATACTTTTAAAGATTTTATTTATCTTTAGAGGGGAAATGGGAAGGAGAGAAGGAGAGAAATATCAATGTATGGTTGTCCCTCCTGGGTCCCCCCCCCCCAGAACTGGCCTGCAACCCAGGAATGTGCCCTGACTGGGAATTGAACCGTGATGCTTTGGTTCACAGGCCTGAGCTCAATCCACTGAGCTACGCCAGCCAAGACTGGTTCATTGTATTAATCTGGCTTTAGTGGATTAAATCAGGTTTTGTCAGTTAAACTTACAAAGAGCTAACTTAAATACCAATTATTATTACAGAGTGAAGGAAAACATTTGACCTCACAAAAATCTGTCATTTTGTAACACCTGGTCATTTACATTTTAAACCTTCTACCTATACTGCACAATGAAAGACTTCTGCCTTTGATTATATATATAACCAGTATATATATTATAATGTAATAATGTATTATATATTGTATATACTTTACAAGTATACATATGTATATGCTTGTAAAGTTTTACAAGTATAAGCTAGCCTGAAGCTTAGCTTAAGTTACCCCTTCTACAGTGACGAGGATGAGCCTGGGCAGTTTCCCTCCCTTCTCTCCCCTCTCCCTTTAGTCTCCCGACTAAACTAAAGGTTCATCCTCAGCATCTGCCGATACAAATTCCCTAACACGAGTTCTCAGAAAGACCCTCTCCTGAAGCCCCTCATCACTGAGATGAGGTGGTGCCACTTCCTTTCCTCAGACAGCCCCTGCCCTTGGCCCCCCAGTGTGTCCTTCATACCAGTTGGTGTCTCTTCTCTCACATTCTCTACTTTTCTCCCTCTCTTCCCAGTCCTTCTTCCTCCATCTCCTTCCTAAGGTCTGCCTCCCCATCAAACCTTCACACACACAGACACACACACACACACACACACACACGTAACCCCTTCCTCTCCCAATACCAAAATTGCTTATTTTAGATTTTGGAGTACATTTAGTTTAACTTTAGGAAGAAATATTTTTCAAAGAGAAGTTTCTTAAATGCCCTGAAGATAATAAAAAGTTTCAAAACTGTCAACAGTCTTATATTGTTCACCGTTTTTTATCAGGGTCAAAGATAAACCTGGCCTGCCCGGACTGAACTATGACAGATTTCAATTCATACTTTGGGTAGTCTTAAAAGTAGGTAAAAAAATGAAGTGGGGGTAGGGTGGTAATTTACTTGTATTTTACCACCTTGTAAAATACTTGTATTTTACTTGTATTTTACCTTGTATTACAAGGTAATCTTACCTTGTATTTTTATGCAAGGTAAAATCAGAAAAAAAAATAGCCATTGTCATTTTTGCCAAAGATTTTTTAAATATTCTGACTTTTTTCACTTATTCAACAAATAGAACCCACTAGAAGCATCTATTTTTTTATGTCCATGTTTATTCATCAAACATATATTGTGTATCTGTACATTCTATAGTTTCTATTAAGAACTAAGCGTTCAAAGCCTAATTTTAAAAGCATCTTGTTTCTGGGGAGTTGACGTCTCCTTGTGCTTGTAAGCAAGTCAGCTGTCATTCTACCCAGAGCGGATAGTAAATGGGAAGGGCTGGGGAACGAGTTCATTGGTTAATTCTTTCTGGTGCTCTGACTGGGGGGTCAGACCAGTTGGTTGGATGCTGCAACTGAGCCACTCGACCAGAGCTCGAATTTGATTTATAGGCAATAATTTGCCAATTTCTGTGGTGTAAGATTCCCACCATGAATGATATGAGGGTACTGATGGTTTAACAGCAGACTCCAAAAACTGATGAAATTTAACAGTGCGCTCTTTTGAGCCAGTTTAAGCTGGTTCCTGCACACAGCTGACTGTGATCATGCCAGCTTTAGGACTTTGGAAGTTGTTTATTTGCCTTCTTAGATTTCAGTTTTCTTATCTGTAAGTAAAAATATGGGACTAGATGACCCAAGATCCTCTCAGCTCTAAATTCTCATGGCTAAGACACACACAGTCACTTAGTAAGCCCTGTACACCCTCTAACGGCAGGAGCCATGTCTGTTTTACCTGCTACCATGTACCCCACCTCTAGAGCATTGCCTGGTATTTGTAAATGGTACTCAATTTGCACTGAATTTTTATATCATTTTTTCTTTTGTTTTTAGAGAGAGGGCAAGGGAGGGAGAAAGGCAGGGAGAGAAACATCGATGTGAGAGAGAAATATCAATTTGTTGCATCTCACATGCCCCCAACTGGGGACCTGGCCTGCAGCCCAGGCATGTGCCCTGACTGGGAATCGAACTGGCAACCCTTTGCTTCGTAGCCTGGCACCCAATGCACTGAGCTGCACCAGCCAGGGCCTTTTTTTGTTTTCATTGCATTCCTCTTATTCAATGAGGTAATCAAGCTCAGTGGTAAGAATATAGATGTTACATAATTTTATGTCGATTTGAAAAAATTAAAGTTAACCATTTTTATTTTTCCCTGGAATTATCTTGGAACAAAAAAGGAAGTCTACTACTGAGTTTTTAAAAATTAGTGCAGTGGTTCAGACAGGAAATAATCAAGTCCTCACCTAAGCTGATAGCAGTGGAAATGAAAAGGAGAAAAAAAATGGAGTAGATTCAACACCTATTTCAAAGCAGAAATCAAGAGGATTTAGTGACTGATTGGGGCAAGGGCGTGTTGAGAAGGCCTTTGATATAGTTCTTTCACAGAAATTCTCTTTGTTCTTTCCTTCATGCATAACCCTTTGTCTTCCTCTTCATTTTTCAGGCTATCAGGCCTCCAAATAGTTATTATATTTACTATATTAAATAAGTAAATTTCTCCATGGAATAAAAAATGTTCCAATAGCACCCTGTGTTTACGGCAAGAGGCAACACTGAGGAACCCTCTCCAAGCTCTGATAAACTAACCCTAAACGTTAAATAAAATGAATGTGATTAGATCTGTGATTCATCTGCACAGAGAGATCATCTATAATGTGGGTAACCAAAGAATGTGGGTGTTAGGGTGGTCAGTGACGCGGGCTGTGAAAGAATTCTCAAAGAGAAGAAAGTGTAGAGAGCACTCTTCATTCACTTTCCAAGAAAAGAGAAGGGCGTGCACTGGAGAGATCCACCCGCATTGAGGGGTGAGGGCTTTGAGTTTTTACTGGATTACAACTGGATTAAAAAACCTTGGGGGGGGGGTGCTGTCGTGTGGCCCCTGGGCTGTTAGGGCGTTGTAACTGGAAGTATCCTGACGTTACCTTCTGCCTGTGGCTATAGGGAGGTTAGTTCTGTTTTTGCTTTCCAGTACATTCCAGTCCTGGGGACATAAGTTTAGAAGAATAAAATAGCAGTTGTGTTTAACAAGTTCACAGGCCTGCTAAGCAAATGGTGCCACAATAGCAAATGGGGGTGATTTTTTCCTTTCAGTGGGGATGACTGGAAATTCCAAACTAAGTGATCTGGTTGCATTTTCTGGAAGCAGGGCTGGAATGGGATGGTATATTAGTAGATGAAAACTTAATTGTATTGAACCCTGCTGAGACATTCAGTAGCTCAGGGTTGACAGCAGAAGGCATAAGAGAAGGTGAGCAAGCAAAGGACTGAGAGCTACATCTCAGAGATTCTGAGTCTAGAAGACAAAGACTTTCCCAAGATGTATCCATACAGTGAGGCCTGGATTCTTCATTATATCTCACCCTGGCCTGGAATAGATATTCCTGAAAGTGCATCGGTCTCTCTATAGTCTGATTCTGTGCTGCCTCTCACCATGCTGCCTGCGACTCCTTCCTGGTTTTCTAGGTACATGATTTATCAGGAGAGATGATTCTTGAGACAGAAACGTGAGCACTTCCTAGTCAGGAATAGAAAGGAATAGACCAGAAGTCACAGACCAGGGGCCAAGGGTCATATCAGGACATGCAGCTAGGTTTAATGTCTGCAGTATTAAATTTCTTTACAATGTGTAAGCTTTTAGGTAGGTGTGCTCTCTTCTTCACAACTAGTTCCCACTTTTATTGTTTTGCACTTGGCTCTTTCATGTTTATAGTTTGCCTAACCTCTATAGGAAATTGAGTTTGCAATGCTGGAGTAATCCCTGCTATAAATAAATAAGTTAACAGAGTAAATTATACCTCAATCTTTAGTGAGTTTGGTGCAAATCAGCTTCAATTGTGTCTCATCAACCTGTGGGCGTGGTAAAGGCCAGAACCTGGGCTGTGAAATTGTTGACATTTCACCAAGGAAATGTCAATCACAAGATGTTAGACAAATGTCAAAGACAAGATGTTAGATCTGCAGAGTTTTTTTCCCAGGTGATTCCTTGATCTCATTGTTACCTTGTCTCCTTTAACTGTACCCCTTTGCTACCATTTTCTAACTTACTGTTATTTACATATGTGTTGGGGCAGTAACTGCAGACTGGTTCATTTAACTAAAATCCTTTCCCACAACCTCCTAATTAATGAGGCTTGAAAGCTAAAACTCATTCTCAGCTTCCTTTGTAAGTAGCAGTAGCCATAGGGCTATTTCAGGCCATGGATATATACATGGATGTTCTTAGGAAGGCCATCTCTTCTGAAATAAAAAGGCAAAACCACCTAAGAAAGAGAAAGCCTTTTTTGTCCTTAACGAGTTCTCCTCCAGCCTGCCTGGCTTGGACATAAGGCGTTTATGTGAGGCAGCCTCTTTGTACTACGAGGAAATATGCATAAGAAGACCTATATGCCAAGCAGAAAAACAGAAGATAAAAAGAGCCAGACCAGACCTGAACTACCTACCATCAGATTTCTTTTGTTTGGGACAAATAAACTCCTGTCTGAAGCAACTGCTTTAAGTGTTTCTACCCCCAACAAAATCTTTTTCTAACTTGTGTCTCTAATAAAGTCCTCAGGAGAGAAAACATGCTTTGTCTTTATATCCTCAGAAGCCTGCTCAGTGCCTGCATGTAGTAGGCATTCAACATATATTTGTTTAACCAATTAATAAATTTGCTGTCCATTGTTAGAAACCAGAACAAAACACAAAATCATAATTTAGGCAGAGAGTTACTAATTTCATAAGTGACCAAGATACACTAAAAACAGAAAAAGCAAATTAAAAGATGAAATTTTAGACTGGCAAAGCAGGTAACAAAGGAACCTTTCCTTTTTCTAAGAAAGTAATTTAAATCCTTTTCACTAAAGAACAATGTATTATTATTATTACTAGTAGTAGTGATAATAAGTGTATATTAACTCAGTCTTAATTAACATAGGAAAACCATGACATAGAAACTGTTATTATCCCAATTTCACAGCTAAGGAAACTGAGAGGCACAGAGGTTCAAGGCCACACAGCTACTTAGCGACAGCACTAGAATACAAATCCAGGCAGTCAGGCCAGGGCCATCCCTCTGTTAAGAGAGGATATATAGCACCATCATTAGTAAATAATGGCAAATAACTCAAGTATGGTTGTGCACATAAAAGTCTATTTTTTTAAAAGAATGTTATTTATTTTTAGAGGAGGATAAGGTGTGGACGAGGGAAAGGGAGAGAAACATCCATGTACAAGAGAAACAGTGACTTACTGCTTCTTGCAAGCTCCCAGCTGGGCCCCTGGCCCCACAACCCAGACATGTTGCCTGACTGGGAATTGAACTGGCAACCCTTCAGATTGCAGGCCAACACTCAATCTACTGAGCTACATCAGCCAGGGAAAAAGTCTGTTTTTTTGTTTTTTAAAGATTTTACTTACTTATTTTTAAACTGAGGGGAAGGGAGAGAGCAAGAGGGAGAGAAACATCAATGTGTGGTTGTCTCTCCTGTGCCTCCTACTGGGACTTGGATTACAACCCAGGCATGTTCCCTGAGTGGGAATTGAACTGGCAACCCTTTGGTTACAGGCTGGCACTCAATCCACTGAGCCAGCCACACCAGCCAGGGTGCAAAAATCTGTTTTTAATTAATGTTTTTCAACCTAAGCATTTCTAAATCTGAGATATAGACCCACGATGTGCTCCAGTAGGTTGTTTGAACAACCAAAGCATTAATATAATGCGTTTCACTCATGTGTTATAGCAAAGCAAACTTTCCCAGAAACTTCTTTTTCCACAGGTGACTACTGCACAGAAGGTACACTCAGCTGGACTTAATGCTCTGAAAACTAGGGATTTCATCCCTAAGGTGAATAAAACAATACCAACCCTCATGCTTACAGCTGCTATTTGCTCTCAGATTAGCCTGCTAACGATGACAGAGGATAGATGCAAGTGGTTTAATTATATTAAAGAGCTGGTCTTAATAGGAATTACACCCTAGGAAGGGCAGCTACCAGGAGAGAAACTAAAGGGAGGCTACCCCTGCCCAGTGTGGCTCAGTTTGTTGGGGCTTGTCCCACTGAGCAGGTCACTGGGTAGAACCCTGGTCAGGGTACATGTCTAGGTTGCAGGTGTGGTCCCCAAGCTAGGTGCTTATGAGAGGGAACCAGTCAATGTTTCTTTCTCACATCGATGTTTATTTCTTTCTCCCCATCTTCCCCTTTCTCTGAAAATAGATAAAATCTTTTTTTTTTAAGGGAGGGCTAGTGGTAACTAATCTTTCCCCCCAATGGCCTCATCTCTTTTTTTCTACCCAATGCATTTGTCCTCTTGGCTTCCTCCAATTATCTTCAAAGGGTTTTAGTGTATGTGTGTGTGTGTGGGGGGGGGAACCTCTTACTTCTCTATCTTCCAGTAAATTATAGCCCCATATTTAAGCTTCCTAATGAAAAAAGGTGAAATATACCACTGAGCACACAGTGGGGGGAGTATCTTCTCTTGTACGAAAAGCCAATAAAAATTACTGCGTATGAGGGAAAACCATTCAGAGTCTGTGCTCTTTAGTTTTTTCCTTCTCTTACTAATTAAATAAAAACATTTACAGGGCACTGGGATTCCTAGTTTAGCTACTTTCCCTATTTTATTTATGAGTTGTAAACATGGTCTAATGAGACACTAAAAGTATTTTTGAGTTTTTGAAAATGTTTAACATGATTAATAAATAACTATCTAAGGGAGTATCTTTCATAATGTACATCATTGCCTTTTCTTTTTCAAGAATGCACATCACTCCATTTGCCAGTCTCAGACATTCCATTTTATAGATATAGAGAAAGAAAGAGGGAAAAGTAATTTCTTTCTTGTTACCAGTCAGATTCTCAGCAGCTGCCTCCTTTTAGATTTCTTCCACAAAGAAATTATTTCCTACCTGTTAATTACCTTTCTGGCTGTAGAATACTTCGCTCATAGTAAACAAAACAACACATTGGTCTAAATCACTTTTCTTTAGCTATTTGTTCAAGAGCTATGTGAGCCCTAAACTGTAATCGGGCTTCCATGGAATAGTCTTTGTAGTTTTTTATGTTGTCTAGATTTTTTGTTGCACTGACATAATCTCCTTTCAGATAGTATAGAATTCCCAGTTCATAGTAAGTATATGGCACCAAATAGTGGTCATATTTTAACAATTTCTCATTTTGAATGACACGAATAAAGTACTGCTCAGCCGTCGAATATTCGCCTAAATATTTCAGACACAGACCTTTCAGTAAATTTAGCAAACTTATGTCATCTGTGCCATACTCTTTATTTGGATTTTCTCGTAAAAGGTCTTCTCCTTTGTTAATTATTGATAGCCAGCAGGAAATAAGTTGCAGTTTTTTGCTCATGATCCGGAAACCACTCCAGGCATAAACGAATTCCAGAAGGGGCTGCGCTGTAAACCAGCCTGTAGTAGTACCATAGCGCTGACCCTTCTCAGCGACAAACTTTTCTACTGGCACAGAAGTTCCTAAAAATCTGATTCTGAGGCTATCCACTTTTAAAAAGTGAGAGTTCATGTCCTCACTTATTGATTTAGCAAATCCAGAAGGAAGCAAAGCCAGGAGCATAGCTTTACTGTATAAATACATTGCTTTGGACCACTTGCTGTTTTGAAATAACTCATCAGCATAGTGGTAAGCCTGCTTCCAATCCTGCAGAAAAATGTGGCACCACATGAGTTCCCAGTAACAGAGATGATTAAGCTGCTTCCATTCATTCTGAATAAAAATGCATTCCTCTAATATTAACTGTGCATTTTCAAAGTTTCCTTTCAGCATATTAAAACGTGCATCAAAAAATTTAAGTATGATACACTTTGGAAATTTCTGGAGGTAGATCAAGAAGAGGTCCTCTATTGTGGAAGTGTGACCCTTTTCAACACCAAAAGCTACACAGATATAATTGTAGTAGAAGAGTAGAGTCAAAATACTTAAGATGTTATTTACATGGGATTCGGATGCACTCTCATGAAGCAAAGACAAGCCTACATCTTTATTACCATAATATCCGACAATATCGAGTAATTTAAGTGTCTTTGGTGGCACAAGTGATAACATCAAATTGAATGCTCCAAGACCAAATTTTACTCCTCCCACTAAGTGTCTGTAGGTTTTGCTTTGTTTGTTAGGTATCTGTGTTAATATTTGTTGACAGTCTTTGTATATTTGGTGACTTAACCCAAGGCTGATTCCACTTTTAAGGAAACCAAGTATACTCTCATCCTGCATAAATGTTACAGTGGATTTGAAGATCAAACACTCAGCATAGCAGACTTCTGCATGCAATTCCTCTTCTTTGACAGACTTTATTCCATGTTTACTCACTAGACGAGAAAAACTTATCATCCTAGCTTTTCTTCGGAAATTGTTACAGGTTCTCAAAGCTTCCTTTGTAGCAGTCATCCCAACCTCTATATCCTGTGGATCAAAAGTCAAAACGGCTTTGACAACCATAAGGATACTATAAATTAGAGCATGGTAAATGCTGTTATTTGACCATGGGTGAATGAGATTTATAGCATCTGAGAATCTGTTATTTAGAAATAAATACAATCCAGTTGTGCATTCTTCCAGGGAAGACATTAGAGTCATTGTTGTTGCTGCAGGGATAGTTTCATAGGCGTCTTCAAACTTGTCCTCCTTATCATTTTCTTCTTTCCATAAAGCCAGTGATGTAAAGTCATCTTCCTTATCATTTTCCCTTTTACTTAGAGCAAGTGACATATCTGCTACCCTACTTTAGAGATGGTAAATACTTTCAGTGGAATGATGTGGATGCACCGAGGGCAGCTCCTGTTCTCCTGACTGGGGTCCCTTCTTCCAGTTGCTATTACAATGGAGGCAAACAGACTGAGAGCTGTGAGGTGCAGCATTACGATATTCTCATCTAGATCAGACAAAGGGGGGGAAGATCATTTTATTTACCTAGAAGATGTATTTCTGAAAAACTCAAATAATTTGGAAATTACTAAAGGAAACATGTTCTTTGAAAACATTGTGAAGTAAATCACAGAAGACTTCTTTTGTAACCACCCCTCCAATCTATTATTTTCCTATGATCATGCTTTTGCTTATTTATGTTATACAGCTGTACTGGGACAGCTGTAAAGTTTCTAGGAAACCCTTGGGGACAAGAATCTTGCTTGAAAGGGGAAGGTATTTGCCTAGGTCTCTAGTTAAGACTAAGGAAGGGTGAGTCGTCAGATGAAAGAATAAAGATTTTAGGAATGAAATATCCCTTCCATGCTATTCTTAGTAACAACACTACACTTGCATATATTTTCATTAAAAAAAAACTAGGTCTTTGTGAAATATTATGGTTAGTTGTATGGTACTTTGGGCATAGAAAGTACTGTGTGAACTAGCAAGGCTTCCTAGCATTGTTGCAGTTAGAAAAGAAATCAAATGTAATAGTTATTATCACAGCATTACTATGGTATCTTGGTAAGAAAGTGGGATGGGGATGGGCACAATGGAAAACCAATTACAGAGCAAGCTACTTAATTTATTCATAATAACAATAGGCTTAATCTATTTTAAAAAGTAGAAACAGCAAATATAGCACTTTAGTTGTAATGACCACGCTTTACAATAAGTACAAGTATACTTTAAAATGTACTTTAATCCTATATTTTGAATAAGTTAAAAGACAGAAGTAGAAGATAAAGCAGAGGAGAATAATCAAAAGAAAAGAAATTCAGATTTTTACACAGAGGGAAAAGAAAAAAACAGAAGGAAAATATGTTGTATGTGAGGAAAAAGTGATGGGGAGGACACCTCTGAGCTATTACTTTCATTAAATTTCTTGTTTTTACACAAGAAGGTTTAGTTATGTTTCCGAATATTAGTAACTATAATCACTATCCACTGAAAAGCTAAGTTAATTACATATTTATCTAAAGGTTCAGTTATTCAGTGGAACTAAAGTGGAAGAGCCATGCAGCCCATGAGAAGGGACATTATTCTTGGAGCTGCAATAGTAGTGGCTGGACTGTGGTTAGCTGGGGATCAGCTGAAGAAACCTAGTAGAGGGCCGGATTCAACGCAAGTACAATGCTCCCTTTCTTCAGGCCTAATGTTTTCAAATGATATTCCATAGAATCCCTACTCTCCATCCAACACAAACGAATTCTTCCTTTTTCCAGAACCTTACTGGAGTCTGTCACCACAATCTAAAACCATTCAGTATACATTCCTATTACCCTTTAGCTCACTGCATTGTAATTATTTCTACACCTGCTTTCACCATGAGTTTGGGAGCTTCAAGGCATAATTTGTGTTCTATTTAGCATTATATCCCAGTTCTAGCATACTCCCTTAGAGTAGGCATTAATAAATGGTTGCTAAATGACTTCAGGTACCTACAACATATTTCTAGGAATTTCTTGAAAGCATGTTGTAAACACATCTTTCTGCCACATACTTGCTGTTTGCTACTCCCAAAGAGCACATACAGATATAACCATAATGAATTCACTGTACCAAGATTTTCTTGTATATTGCTCTAATATGTTGGGGATTCTATTTTTCGATTTTTTTCTTCCCTCTGTGTAAAAATCAGAATTTCTTCCTTTTTCTTTGATTATTTGATATTCTATTTTTCACTTACTTCAAGAACTAATACTTGTTTAGTCCACAACTAAACAAGTTGTTGGGGAGAGTTGTTGAGGGGAGGCCCTATTCCCAGTTATGCTTTCCTCTCAGTTTTGTTGAGGTAAAATTGACAAAATTGCAAGATATTTAAAGCTTATAATATGACATGATTTTTGGGGGTTGAGAACATTGAAGTTCTACTCTCTTAGCAGATTTCAGTTTACAATGGTGCTGTCAACTGTAGTCATGTTATACATAAAATCCTCAGACCTTCTTCATCTCAAAACTGGAAGTGTGTTCTGTTTTAGCAGCCTCTCTCTGTCTCTCCCATCACTGTATCCCCTATTCTTGAGGTGCCCATAAGGGGCCTTTTCTCGTAGAGGAAAACTCCTGGCCAGTGGGTTGACTGCTGGCTGGAAGCTGATAGAAAGAACTGGGAAAGTGTCCCTTGTGCCTTCTGAATTCCTTCTTTTGCAACCAGCTTGTTCAAGTCTGAAACCAAAAAACAGGGAGAGTTTATTTTCTGCTATCCAGCCACTCCTGGGACCAGTTGGGTAAATCTGTTTAATTAAGGGTGAAGCATTAGTGAGCCCACTGGACAACACCTCTGAAGCCACAGTAACTATTTTAATTAAAAAAAAAAAAAGGTTATGGCCCTGACTGATGTAACTCAGTGGACTGAGCATGGGCCTGTGAAGCAAAGGGTTGCCGGTTAGGGCACATGCCTGGGTTGCAGGCCAGGTCCCCAGTGGGGGACACATGAGAGGCAACCACACATTGATGTTTCTCTCCCTCTCTTTCTCCTTCCTGACCCCTCTCTCTAAAAATAAATAAATATATTTTTTAAAATTTTAAAAAAGGTTATGTTTTGGTCTCCTTTTCCTGACTCTTGCATTTGTATCTCATTGGTTCTGAACTCAGGGGAGGAAAAAAGATGTTATTTATTGACCCCCCTAAAACTATCTTCTCCTCTATCTACCCTTGTATTCCTTATCTAGATGGTTGATCACATCATCCACTATAGTTTCTCTCTTCTTTTTCTTCTTCCACGTCCATTAGCGATTGATATCCAAGCCCTGGCAATTCTGCTTTGCTGAGCAAGGTGCCTCTGTCTTGTCCCCTAAATCACCTTGGGAATAATTCTTTAACAAGGCTCGTCACTAAGGTTATAGTATAGTAAAATGGACAGACTGTAAAGTTAGACTCCTTAACTTTGAATCCTGATTCTGCCACTTGCTTCACCTTCCTGTGCTTCTGTTTCTTCATCTGCAAATAGAGAATAATAGTACTTCTACTTGGGTGGTTGGCAGAATTAGGTGAATTAATGTATATAAAGCAATCAGGACAGTATTTGGCATACACTGTAAATTCTCAATATATTATTTTATATCCACCCCCCCCATAGTAAGTGCTTACAGAATTGTTTTAAGTGAGGTTTGGAATGCAGATTGCTTTTCGTAGGAGTTCCAGTTTTTGGTGATAAAGGCAGAGTCATGCTCCTATTATTCTTTTGCTTAAAATGTTCTGTCCACACTGTGTTCTTTACCTCTGTCTGCTTGTCTATGTTTGAAAGGATCAGTCTAGTGGGGATTGACTAGGGATGGCTAATACTGAGCCAGATAAGTCACTGCGGGCTGGAGTAAGGTAAAGAGGGAGAAGCTGACCATACATAAAGGAATAATTTGGTAAAAAGGAGGCAGAGGGGGATGCACGGAGCATGCATAAGGGAAGGAGTAGACTTAGATGAGAAAAGCCTCTTCTACTAACAAAGAACCTTCCTTCTTGTCATTCATTCAACACAGCCAGGACTCTGAGAAAACTCAGGGTGGGAAAGAGCAGAATGATTAATAGAAAATAAAGAAGTGAGAGTATTAAATCTGAAATTAAATCTAAAATAATGGATCCCAAGTCAGTTTGTTTTTAAAATGTGTGTGTGTGTGTGTGTGTGTATAATAGGACAAAAGTAGGTTTACAGTTTTGAATACATGGAATTTTATTCTTATATTATTATTGTATTATTTTCCATATGAACTATAAACCTACTTTTGCCTCACCCTGTATATGATCGTGTATGTGTGTATGTGTGTATGTGTTTGCATTTTTAACATGTTTATATCCTGCTGGGCTTGAGGGGAAGATCCATATTTATTATTTTTTTTGTCCTGGTGTTTAAGCAGTAGCTTATACCTATCAAGTGCATCATACAAGCTTTGAGGAAGAAAAGATGAAAGGAAGTAAACATATCTTTACTATAATCCCAGATTTGGCAGTGTAAGGAGTGTTAAATGATTTATACTCTGCTCCTAGTACCCAAGTAAATACACATAGACATTAAAGTTTTCTTTTTATGGAAGGACCCTGTAGGAAATAAAACTTAGACTTCATTGGCATCTCAAAGATATTTAAATCTGAGGTTACCAAAAATCAAGATGCCTTCCAATATTTGTAGTAATTTGCTTATGTGTTTGAGAAACCCTAAACCCACTGTACTGAATGGGAGGAGGAAAAGGGACCAGGGGTATTTGTTCATAAAAAGATAATAAACAACTTCCTGTGGTATGTAACCAAAGAAAAAAATTCTAGAATAAAGTGGGATTTTGTTGTTTTAAACACCAACAGTGTCCCACTGGAAAATGGTAGTATACTTATAGGGTCATAGGCACATTTTTGAAATATAAAGCAAGTATCTCACTACAACTTTCAGAGAATTGGTTAAAAGCCAAGACAAGTTACTTTTAGGGAAGCAGCATGCTGCAAAATAAACATCTCTGGACTGGGAGAATCGGAGGTTCAGATTTGGACACTAAATATCTATATAATCTTAGAAAAATCATCTATAAATATTAATTGAGTAACAATCATGTGACATCACTGAAATAGTTCCTTCGTACATTCACTAATTCTATATATATTATTGAGAATCCAGTACAGGCCAAGCACAGTATCAGACAGCAGGATTGCATCAGGGGATAAAACCGAGTGCCTGCTCTTGCGAGATGTCATGAAAGAAAGAAAGAGGCCAGGAGGTGAGAGGAGCTATGAAGGAAGATACAGTTGAGTAAAAGATATAGAGAGCGTAGAAGGAGGGCATGTACTAATGTTTATTATTACAGAAGTGCTATATTTATTTA